TAGCCTTTGGGCCTGGGAGGCAGTGACGCTAAACACTCAAGTATTAGGCCTGATTGATTCCCCTAAAAAAGGCCTGATTGATTAGTACGCGTATCATAATAGGCAGCCGACTCCACGCTGAGATGCAGCGAGTCCACGAGAATCGCGACAGGTTGCTGTAATTGTAAGTTTCCTTCTGAGGAGGCCGAGCCGCGACAATCCCTCTCGCAGCCGCCGGACGCGACGCGAGTTGCTGCCGATGGACGAGCCACCGCCACGGTGCAGTACGCCGACAAAATCCACTCCTCTCTCTGGTTTCTAAGGCGCCGGACGCGCCCGCACGCCCGCACGTCGCCAAGCGCCTCCAGATGGAGCTAGACGCAGATTCACACCGTGTTATCATTGAGACGAGATCTGGCCGATCCGAGGTATTTCATATCTCCAATTTATCACTTCTGATGTTCTATAGATTCTGTTCACGTTCGCTCGTCCGTTGCGTCGCATGACGTGATTTGCTCCATGAGTTGATCGTGATGCATCTCATAAGATTCACAAACATATGTATTGAAAAGCTTTATAATCCGTGCGCTTGCATTTGCCCTATTGTGCGCGCAACATGGAGCGTGGTCTGTCGTGCTATATTAGCGTTCTACATGTATGGTGTACATCCTTGAAACCCGGGTCTATGCTAATTGAGTAATTTATTTCATATACATCATGCACATAGCTCGCACTATTGAAGCAATTTTTTAGCATTGTGTGTCATCATGGTGTTTAAAAGGCATCTATCTGCCAACGAAAAAATAAAAATAAAATATTTGATATGAAAATTGATTTTTAGATGCATTTGCATATTAACCTTTCATATGTGTATCAATTATTACTGGTATGTTTTTTATATGAAAGGGCCCTAAATTTTAGGTTCGCCCCGGGCCCCCAAAATCTCAGTACCGGGCCTGTGTATGGGTTGTACAAATTTGATAATCCATATTCACTACTGAATGTACGACAGCTTAAATAAAGGGTTGTTCAGCCTTCATTGACGCAATCGGATACCCCGTGAATTTTATAGAGGGCCGGTCCGGCTGTAGACGCTGTAAATATAGATAAATATTTCTTGCGAGGTGAAAGAATAATACTGGTGTGAAGATCGGCAGAGCGTGTGGGGGAGAGGGAGGAGGGGGAGAGGGAGTACTCACGAAGCCAAACTAGACGAGACGAGACGATCGGGCTACTAGCTAGCTGCGCAGGCAGTGTGTGATGACGTCTGACTGGACCGGTGTACTACGTAAGATGAAGCGACGGGTCTGCTCTCGCCCTTGACCAGACCAGACCAGACCAGAGTTTTCTTCGAGGAGTAGCGCTGGTCTCACCACCTCACACCCGAATCAACGCGTGCACGCGTCTCCACTGCAGGCATGCATCACTGCACACGTTCCAAAGCACGCCAGCACCCAGCTCGGCCCTCCAAAACACTAGCCTAGCTTGCAGCTTCCTCTTCCTCCAACTTCACTCGGTCTCACTCCACAGTCCACTGCTCAGAGTGAAGAAGGGTCGTCTCTTCCGTAGAAACGTCGCTCCCTCTCCTCCATAGCTTGCAGCTTCCTCTTGCCAAATGTAAGTCTCTCTTTCTCTATACATTTTCTGGCATGTTTGAGATCATATATGAATTGGATGTTGGATCCTCACTCCGGTCAATCGTTCAGCTGGGCGCAAGCCCGCCGGTCGCCGGAGATCTATGGCGGACCAAAAGAAACCGACAGACCAGCACAACAAGAGGCAGCGGGTTTCCGAGAACGCCGAGAGCAGCAACAAGAAGTTCAGCATCAAGGAGGTAGTTGGTTCGGGGGTCGCGGGGACGCGGCCGTTGGCATCGCCGAGTCCAGTTGCCAGGGCCAAGCCAATCGCGGTGGTGAAGCCAACGGCCGCTACGGTGGCAGTAACCGGTCCAGTGGCCACCATGGCACCGGCATCGGCGGAGCCCAGTCCGGTTGCCAAGGCGAAGCCAACGGCCGCTACGGTGACAGTAACCGGTCCCGTGGCCACTATGGCACCGGCACCGGCCGCGCCCGGTCCGGTTGCCATGAAGACGCCCACGCCGGCGGCGCCCAGTCCAGTGGTCACCATGGCACCGGCACCGGCGCCGGCAGCGCCCAGTCCAGTGGCCACCATGACACCGGCACAGGAGGCGCCCAGTCCGGTGGCTACACAGACTCCGGCGCCGGCGGAGCCCAGTGCAGTGTCCACGAAGATGCCGGCGCTGGCGGCTCCCAGCCCAGTTGCTATGGCGACGCCGGTGGCCGTGGTGAACCCACCCGCCACGGTGAAGCATGAGCTGGAAGACGGAGGGGTGCTCGTAATCGACGAACAAGTAGCAAGAGCCATGGTAGCCGCGGCACCTGCGGAAGAGGAGTCCGTCATCTTAGAGGTGAAGAAGAAATGGCTTCACTGCGCTGCGTGTCCTGCGCCCCTCAAGCGTCCCGTATTCATGGTAATACATAGACGAACTAACTGAAATTTCCGTTAAAAAGCATGCATGGATTTGTAGTATTTGTTTTGAACTATGATTCATTGACATGCATGGATTTGTGGATTGCAGTGCGGGAATGGACATGTCGTGTGCTGCTCCTGCGGCGGCGGCGGCAATGGCGACGGCGGAGCGAACAAGCACTGTGATTTGTGCGGCCGCGCCACCACCTACACCCGCATCCCCTACATCGATGGCCTGGTCGGCGACTACAAGGTGCAGTGCCCCTACAGGATTTTCGGCTGCGCGAGGTCCATCACCTACCACTCGGCCGCGGACCACCCTGCCAAGTGCGCGTACGCGCCCTGCTACTGCTTCGAGTGCGCGTTCCAGGGTTCCCCGGCAAGCCTCCTGCGCCACCTCACGGAGGAGTCCGGCCGGCATTGTTGGCCCATGGAAAAGATTAAGTACGAGATCTGCCGCCCGCTCGTCGTGCCGGGGTCGGAGCACCGCCTTCTGCTAGTGGCGGAGGAGGACGGCCGAGTGTTTCTCCTGGCCGTTGGCGCGGGGAGGGGCGCCGCCGGCGTCCGCCCCGTCAACATCGTGTGCGTCAGGGGCAATGTCGACGCCGACGCGAGGCCGGTGTACACAGGTGTGCTCTGGGTGGATGGCCCTCCGGCCGCCGCAGGCCACTTCAGGAGCAGCTTCCAGCTGAAAGGCGACGTGGCGAACTGCGGAGTCCCCGGCGAGGTGGACATGGAGCACGGGCGCCTCCATGCGCATGTCAATCCGGAGATGCTGCACGGGGAGTCTAAAGAGATTCATCTGCGCATTTGCATTACCAAGTTCTGGTGAATTAGCTAGCCCCCGAGTTAAGTTGAACTTATCACTGCAGACCGTATTGTCAGTAGTATACGTTAGTTGCTGCAGGCTGTTCTATTTTGCCGTGTGTGCTATAGCTGTCCATTCCCAGTGGCTTTATACATGAACCATGGTTATGCGCCTTCACTAATTAGCACCCGATGATTCGCCCTTGAGTGAAATGCGTTGGAAGGACCCAATTTTTGAGTAGAGGTAATATCGCCCGGACTCATAGAACTCGTCGCACCTATGGTCATCTAACTTGTCTCAAGCGTGTAGATACAGTTGCATACCAATACACGTATGCGGACATATCCATATGTAGACCCCATTTGTTAGTGAGTCGTGCCGTAGGGTGCGTTCTATTTTTACATAGAACACCCACATACAGCGACGAATGTTTTGCACAGAACCCCCTAACATTCTTTTTATTTACAAGAAAAAAGCTGGCCAGTCGTGCAGATATATAAGCAAAAATGAGCATCAAGAAGTTGGGCAAGCATTTCAACCTGGATAGGTCTTTTGTTTTAGGACGCCGATAACTGCCACACGTGTTGCATCTAGTGGGGTTGTGCTGCACGTCCTGTGTGGCACGGAGACGACCCCGCCCGCACGACAGAGTCTGGGCGCACACAGCCACCGCCCGCACGTCCGGTGTGTGGCACAATCGCCCACACGTCCGGGCGATCGACCGCGCTGCCCGCACGACCTAGCGCGCCCGTCGTCTCGGCCTGCCTTCCAACCCCATTCCGACCTGCCGTCGTCGTCTCCTACCTCTCGATCCCCTACCTCCATCGTCTTTCTTCTCTGGTTGCCATGGCAACCAGACCAGATCTCTAGCGCCTCCCCACCCCTTCCCTACCGCCCCCACCCCCCAACTCCGCGACGACGAGCTAACAAGTCGATCTCCGATCTCCTCCTGTTTTCTCGTCCTTCTTCTGTCCAGAAAATTGAAATTGCAGATTGCCCACGAACATGGCGACTAGATCCACGCTGTCATGACAAACACACCACAGATTTGTGTCTATTCAAATTTACCCACCAAAGTACGCCAGATCTGCCATATTCTATCCTAGAGTTGAGCTAAGCTTCTCGGTTGGGTTGGTGCGAGTAGTTGATGCATAAGAATGCGTAGGAATCACTAAAAATAGGGGAAAGAAAGGAGGGATTTGGGTGGTGCATAGAGAGGGAGGAAAAATAATTGCCACATGTTTCTGATGTTAGTTGCCACCTATCTTTGCGGTCAGCTGCCACAATATTGTGTTGTTACTTGCCATCATATTATGTTCGATGTTGCCACCGGTTCAAAATGATAGTTGGCATCCAGATTTTAGAAAAGAGAATGAATGTGCATGTCCTACTTGCCATGATGTGTTGGTTGTCTATGCAAGAAATGTGATAAGATTGCCGTGTTTTCTTGTATGTGCAAACAGTTAGAATGCATTTTGCGGATATTGATGCGTTCTTGTTCATGCAATGACTGAAAACACAGTGGGGAGAAAAAAGAGAGGAAAAATGAATCATGAAGACGACACTGATCCTTGGTTTTCTCAAAGGCCAGAAACGCCCCCTTGGTATGCAGCAGAGTACAATCAACTCATTTTCGCAGGGCCGTTGCTGCCACTGCTGGAGCAGTACGCGAGCATCAGTACGATGCATGATCAAAAAAGGGACAGTTGCCATATTTGTGACGAGGAAGATGGCATTCTACTTATGTCCTACAATGTCATTTTTCACAGGTTCTTATGACACAACAATACACACGGGGATACCATGGCAAGTTTAGGCACGGGGCGCCAAAGCTGACAGATGTACGGGCGACCAACTTCAAGTAGCCAATGTGGCAAATCAAGGTAACGCGTATGGAAAAGAAACAAACTGAAGTGGACATGAAATTAAACTTGCAACGATGGCAAAGACTTACGAGTTGTATGTAAAAACGCAGGGCCTTCATGTAGCACGTGAAAACAGGTGGCAACCATGTACCTGCCATCAACGTTGTACACAGGTGAGGCGTATGAAGTGAATTTGTGGACAGTGATTCAGGAGAATGAACATAGGTGACATTCGGGGTTTCGTGGTGATTTAACAGCGCCAGCTGCCATGCTTGGACAACTGCATTTGCCATGCTTGGACAGGTGCAGTTGCCATGCATGCACAACTGCATTTGCCATGCCTATACAACTGCAGTGCTATTCCTGGGTTGCCATGCCTGGACAACTGCATTTGCCATGCTTGAACAGATGCAGTTGCCATGCATGCACAACTTCATTTGCCATGCCTGTACAACTGCAGCACCATTCCTGGGTTGCCATGCCTGGACAACTGCATTTGCCATGCCCGGACAACTACAGTTGCCATGCCTGGATAGATGCAGTTGCCATGGCAAATCAATTCTAGTTGCCATGCCTAATCAAATGTGATTGCATGTGTCTAAACAACTATGGGTGACAAGTGTGAACAAAAATCTGTGTGGCATGGTTGAACTACTACATGTGCCATGTTGTACAAACTACAGTTGCCATGCATTGACCAACTGCTAAATGATCACATGTTATTATGGTGGAACCACACCAGCAAACATCTCATGGCAAGCTTCACAGTTGCAGGCCAACGCTATTGCAGATAGAGCACATCAAATTGGAATGACAAACCAGATGCGGTTAGCACATGCTGCACAACAAGATAAAAAATATGTGAACTAGCAAAACAATAGTGCATTTGCTTTTGTGGAAAAGCATGGGGGATAGTGGATTTGTCACGGTGGTGGCGTAAAACAACAAAAAATATCGTGGAATTATCATGGCAGATGTCTTTAATGTGAGGACTTAGTCGCGAGGCCAACACATCTATGCGGTAGCTTGAGAGGGGTTGGGCGGAATCGAGATACACAACACAAGACAGGGATTTAGACAGCTTCGGGCCCCGGGAAACATCATCCAGTAATAACCCTACATGCTGTTTGAGGCTAGGTCTCATTATGACCATGAGGAAATCACCGTAAACCGGATCTCCTAGTTATCTCTGGATCTTCCAGTTATGTCTAACCCTTAAGATTGTCTCCCCCTTGGGGTGCCCTGCCCCTTCTTATATATGTTGAAGGGGCGGGTTACATGTAGAGTCCAACTCGAAAATATACCTCTTATATGCCTATCACTTGTAGGCCCCAAGTCTTAAAAAGGGAATGTAGTAATAGCTTAAGACTTGCTTCAATATGAATGTCACAAGCTTGAAGAAATCCAGGTTGTTCATCTCAATCACCAGTCAGAACTGAGTATTCCATATATGTAGCCCCCAAATGCCGGGTCGTTATGCTTGTAGCTGAAAGTGCGTTATGTCGACTAGAGGGGGGGTGAATAGGTGATTTTTATGAATTCTTCACTGAGGAATTTGCCGGTGAGGAAATTCCTTAGCGAAGAACTATTAGCAGCGGAATAAGTACTCAGAAGTAAGCATAACAGAATACACGCATGGTCATCATGATGAAATGAAGACAAGCACAGAGTACAGAAAGCGTAATCACAGGATAACACAAGATGAAGACAAACAGACTGAAGAAATTGAACTGAGGAAATTGAGAAAGTCTTCAGTCAAAGTCTTCAAACACAGATATGAACAAACACTCAACACAGTGATGAGGAAATGAAAGGGTTGAGGAAATAGAACCAGTTAGGTTGGTGAAGACAATGATTTGGTAGACCAGTTCCAACTGTTGTCTCAGTTGTACGTCTGGTTGGAGCGGTTGAGTATTTAAACTCGAGGACACGCAGTCCCGGACACCCAGTCACTGAGCACGCAGCTCAGGACACCCAGTCCTCACCGTATTCTCCTTGAACTAAGGTCACGCAGACCTCGTCCAATCACTCGTGGTAAGTCTTCAGGCGACTTCCAAACCTTCACAGACTTGGTCACTCGGCGATCCACAATTCCTCTTGGATGCTCTAGACCTTGACGCCTAACCGTCTGGAAGAAGCACAGTCTTCAAAGGTAACAAGCGTCGGATCCATGCAGGATCAATTTCTTCAGTGATGCTCAATCACTTTGGGTTTGTAGGGGTTTGGTTTTGGGGTTTTTCCTCACTCGATGATTTTCGCTCAAAGTCCTCGGAGGATGGGTTGCTCTCAAATGACAAGTGTCAAGTTCTCTCGGAGCAGCCAACCAGCTAGTGGTTGTAGGGGGCGGCTATTTATAGCCTAGGGAGCAGCCCGACATGATAAGACATAAATGCCCCTCAATGATATGACTGTTAGGTGGATAAGATATTTTGGGACAGCTGGCGCGCAGCACAACAACGGTCGGAAATTTGACTCTCAAATTCCTGAGGGCTATCATGTTCCTCACTGTGTAGGTAATTCGCACTGACGAATTCCTAACTCCTCAGTCAGAACAAATTCATCAGCGACCAGAAGAACTTCGTCTCTGCCACTGAAGAAAGTGACTGAACTGTATGAGATTTCCAAAGGCTTCACTCGAAGGGATTGGTAGGTGTAGGATTTTGAGTTGAGCATCACATGGAAAATTTTCCTTAGTATTTCCTCGACCCCCTTTAACAGTACGGTGTTTCCTATGACTCAAGAAAGAGAAAATGAAACTACGAAAACAAAAGTCTTCACGCTTCATGTTCCACAAATGAATACCAAGTCTTCAAGGTCACACCAATTTCTTCACTTTCAAAGTCTTCAGAAAGTCTTGAGAATATCAAAGTCTTTAGTTGAAGAACTTCATTTTTAGGGGTCGACTTTCTCTGTAAATATCAAACTCCTCATAGACTTATAGACCTGTGTATACTCACAAACGCATTAGTCCCTTAACCTATAAGTCTTCAATACACCAAAATCACTAAGGGGCACTAGATGCACTTACAATCTCCCCCTTTTTGGTGATTGATGACAACATAGGTTAAGTTTTCAACGGGGATAAACATATGAAGTGTATACACTGATATTGAGGAATTTGATTGCAAGATATAGAAGAACTCCCCCTGAAGATGTGCA